CCCTTGGAAGTATGGAGTTTGGTACCTAACCCCAACTGATGGACCTGATATTTCTTCCTGTGAATGAATGAATGAATGAATGGTTTTATTTTTGTGTCTTTAAACACAGCCCAAACTTGTGTATATCTCTTCTCAGTACATCAGTTGTTCCATATTTTATTACTATGAGCACTGACAGTGGTATTGATGCACATATCTTGATAGAGTACATTTTCTCGTGACTCAATTTGAGAAACAGTACAAATAAAATAACCACATGAAAATGTCTGTTATTGTCCTGTGAATTAGATACCTGGCAAATCAAGCTACTTCATCACATTGATGCAAAAGTCCTGTACATGCAATACTGCTATAAAACTGTCCTGCTCATTGATTTGCAACTTTGCCCACAATGGCCTAAGCTAGATTCCCTACTATAAAGGGTATTGCAAAATCAAATTTCTATTGCCTTGTGGCATAGATCATCAGAAACTTTTAGTAAATTAGAACAGAGGAACAGAGAAAACTAACTGTCCACCTTCACTACTGGAGAAAATTAACATATAATTACACTATTAACATTTATGTACAAAATAATATACAACAAAATCCTTACTTTTTTAATGGTTTGAAACAGTATGTATATCTCCATGTAGTCATTAGAAAACCCTATTAGAATAATTGATTTTCCTCCTCACTGAGTGTATTTTGAAAACAACTTATTTGTTATGTTGCATTGTTCTCAGCTCTTTTTGCTTCATCCTATTACTTACACTACCTCAGTATGGATCCCCACAGTCATGTTAAAGTCAAGCATCATTATGGTGGTTGAGAATAGTAGCTCCTTGATATACAGTATTTAAATAAATTAGTAGTATTTCTGTTCATTTTGAGCAGATTTTGATGGTTTTACCATGTGGAAATTATGGAAATCTACTGTACCTGTTATGAAATTCATGAACACAGTGCAGCTCTTTCAGCATGCGATTGCCTCCTAAGTTCAGATGCAGGGAACAAATATCGGACTTAAAATGGTGTCGTGTTTAGCAACAGCCTTCCTGTCTGAATTCATGTAAGATGGATGGACTTCCTGCGCCTGGCAGCTTGTGATGTGACCAAACTCCAAGTGTCTGAGTTATGTTCTCAGTCCATGTGTTGAAGCTGCACAGAACCTGGCTGTGTTTAAGTCTGGCCTGCTCCTATCTGCTATTATTGCTTTGTGTCTCATACTCCAGGCATGTATTTCTTAAACTGTGGGTGGCTTCCCTGTTTCTGGTAGGGCTCAACGTGACAAGAATAGCTGTGTTTTCATGAGCCTCTATCCCAGGGTAAAACTATAAATTTAACTGTTGGGTTTCAGGCTGGAAAGGTCATCGCAAATAAGACACAGCAGCCTAACATGAGGGGGGTAAGAAGACGTTAGGGAGGAGTAGGACGGAGAGGAAAGCGGTAAATCACAGACACAAGAGGGTAAGGAAGAAATAACAGGATAGAAAAGTGTTTTTTGGAAACTTGTTGACAGCTGTGGAGGCTTCGGGCCAAATACAACAGTCCAGTCTGGTCACGCACTGATAAACAGTCAAAGGAAACACTTAACTTCAGATGCTAACATTAACAGGCAACAGCCTTCTGTCAGACCTACACCGTGTGAGTGAGTGTGTTCATATTATATGCCTGATTTTGCCTTTAAGGTTCTCATAATGTCATAAACAGCAGTGATAAGTATGTCCAATCTAATCAAATGTCCCATATTCTGTACGATAAGCCCTGAGCTAATCTATTTACATCCATCATTGTTCTCCATTACCTCATTTTGTGTGTGTAAGCTCATAATACCATCCATTCTCAGATTTAATTAGCAATATATTATCACTTTCTCTCTCCCTCTCTCTCAAATCATATGACAAATCACACAGAGAGACTTTGTACTGTATATGAGCTCATGCCAAACGATCCTCAGGCTCCGCTGCTAACCCTGACTTATGCTTATGCTCTTGTGTTGGAATAAAACTAATAATGCAGAGAAATCCTTCACACACAAAATTGAATGTAGGGTGTGTTGCCAGTCATTAGCACTGCATGTAAATTGCAGAGACTTTCAAAATGAGCATGTTTAATTAGATGGAATCAAAGTTGTGAGACCGAAAATCTGGAAGATTCTACAGACAATACCAGGGCCCAAGTAAAATGAGATAATCAAGCTGTATGGACATGCATGGTAAAAGCCTTGAAAAGACTGCTGTATGGGACATCCCTGTCATCAAGTGGGCGCAGACGTAGACCATCAAATCGCAACATTGCCCATTTTATTTCAGCCTGTCTCCTTTCTGTCATATTATTAGTGTTATTAAATTAGATTTTGAAAGATGTTTTCTTACATACATCTGTATATCTATATTACGGTTTACCAGGGTAATATGTGGGTGATATGTAGCATTTATGTCTAGGGCTTTTATTGTGAAAGGTAAGAAACAGAAAGAGTGAAGCTGTAATTTGCTATATTTGACAAGAGTGTTGTCACGATACCAAAATCTTTGTTTTGGTACCAATACCAATATGAATTTCAATACTTTTCGATACTCTTCGGTACTTTTCCTAAGGAAAAGTCCTTTTGGATACAAACCTTTAGAACAATAAATAGTAGGGGTGTAACGGTACCAAAAAAAATCATCGTTCGGTAAGTACCTCAGTACAGACGTCACGGTTTGGTAACTCAAATGTCCCACCAAGTTTGTGTTGTCTCGTGTTGTCTCCCTTTGCGAGGCAGACTTTCTCTTGTCTTTTTTTCACATGCGCCAGCTGCGAATGTTGATACAGGTGTTGTCATATACACCACTTGCGCACTCTGTGCTCCAATAGGAACAAGAAAGGCGTTTGTGTGCATAATTGAGTAAAATAAATTAACTAAATTAATGAATTGAATCAATTTCAAAGTACCGGTATTTTCCAAATGCAGTATAGTACCATTTGGAATACTCTAGTACCGCGGTACTATTTTAGTACCGGTATACCGTGCAACACTATTTGACAATGTAGAAGCAGCTAACTGACGGCAAGTGATCAGCTGATATCTTGTATGCTACACAGAGCCACAAAATGTGGAGCTCTTGCATTTTAACATCTTGCATCTTAACAGTGTTGCGGTGTGTGTGGTGTATGTGTCAGAAAGGCAGATAGCCCTCTGAGATTTACTCACCAAATAGAAAATCTACCTGCATTTGGCACCCTGCAAGAAGGGCACTTTTTTCTATCTATTCATTATTCTATGGGTTATAAGTATTTAAACCCAGTAAGACTTGTTTCAGGAAACTAACTGCGTATTGGAAATACAGCATTGTGGGCTAGACAGTGTCACACATGCTGCAAAGCTACTACAACTAGTACTGTTATATACTCCAAAGTATGACAAAATAGACACTAAAAATCTTTAAAAATCTTGTAGGAACTACTTGCTTTCTCCCGGACTACACCTGCCAACCATATAACTGTGCACAAGGAAACATGCCTCTCCTTCACCTAGCACCACTGAGCTGGCTAACGTTGCAGCTCAGCTGAGGAGGACGCCATAAATGTTAACATATCTCACTCTCACAACCACAAGCCTCTCGTCCATGCCTCCCTCTGCAAGGTGTTTCCGTCGGCGGATGTGGTTCCGTAGAGGGACAGTGGTTCCTACACACTGTTTATCTTGGTGCTTAGAGCTCCACAATGCGAGTGCCATCTAGTTCCATTATCTCTATGGCCCATATCTCCAACACTAGGTAACTTATACAGAAACAATTGAGATCGATAAATAGCATTACAGGTAAAACATGTGGGGGTGAACTGTCCCTGGAATGACCTGAATGAAGATAGAACAAACAGTCAATGTCTACTTTCGAACAAAGGCAATAAATGCCCAAAAAACTTGCTGCAATATTATATATTGCAAGTACATTACCTATGTATGTTATCTGTATGGATCATTAATGGCCTACGCATAAACTGACTCTGACAGAGTTCCTGTGACTCACATCTTGTTGTGTGTGTGTGTGTGTGTGTGTATGTATGTTGTAGTGTTACTCTCTCCACTGGCTGTAATTGGCTGCGTGAAGTAGACAGACACTGCTTTGCTCTGGCTTGTTATCAGACTGACAGGCAAACTGGAAAGGACAGCAGTGTCACTCTGAGAAACACAGCAGACCTCGGAGGCAGGAAACACACACACAAAAACAGACATATACACCACAAGTGGACACACACAGCAAACACACACAGGCACTCAGACACATGCGAGTGCTGTGATACTAACAGACTGTGACAGGGAGGAGAATTTACCTAATGTATTGCTGTTAGACAATCTAAAAGAAGATAGGTAGGTAGATAAAACTAGATAATTGATGCACACAGTCAGTGTAATAAAGCTAATAGAACAGGACAAGTGTGTTACATGAGAAAAGGTCAGGACAATGGCAGGAACATGAAGGATGCTTGAGTAGATATGTGCATGTGTTTGGTAGTGTAGCAGCTTAAATATGACCAAAACTGTTTTGTATGTGGAGCAGATGAATAGTTTTCATCCAAACACTGAAATGGTGCAACAGAAATGAAAGTTTGACATCAGCGATTTAATACATTTTTTGTGCTGGTCCCAGTTCAGCTCACTGAGGCATTCACTTGTAGAGAAAAGCTTAAAAAATGGTACATCTGGCCTTGAGACGTTTTTGATAACAGTGGATAGACTTTGAATCATTTAGTTTCTTTTGGAGATAGATAGATAGATAGATAGATAGATAGATAGATAGATAGATAGATAGATAGATAGATAGATAGATTGATTGATTGATTGATAGATAGATAGATAGATAGATAGATAGATAGATAGATAGATAGATAGATAGACAGATAGATAGATAGATAGATAGATAGATAGATAGATAGATAGACAGATAGATAGATAGATAGATGGTTAGATGGATGTGGATGCTCTGTTGACAGTCTGTGCAGAATTAACTAATCTTTTTCTCTCTCCTTCTGTCTAGACGTGAGACCTTGTTGCGGTGTTCCCAGTGCAAGATGGCTCGCTACTGCAATACCACTTGCCAGGTAGTGTGCGTGCATATGAGTGTGTGTGTGTGTGTACATGTTTGTGTGTGTGTCAATTTGTCTAAATGCCTTTCTCCTGCAGAAACAAGCATGGTCTGGTCATAAGAGAGAGTGTAAATGTCTGCAGAGCCTCCTTCCCCGAGTTCCCACTGACTCAGTCCGTCTGGCTGCGAGACTCATCTTTGCTCTGGTATGTCTCTAGAGTTTCTCATGTTTGAAGAAAGCTACAATAAAAATGGCAACCCTTACCAATATGCTCCTGGGAGCTCTGCACATGATGTGTGACTATAGCAGAAAAATAATTGTGTAAAAGTATTATATATGCTAATGCTCCCCCCCACTCCTTGACTTTTTTTTTGCCTTCTAGTTAAGTCCATTGAAGAGCAGTAGTGAGGAGCTCTACACTTTGGAGGAGCACGAATCACGTACGTCTCTCTTCAAAGAGTGTGTGAATATGTGTGTATGTTTTGAGACAATGCCAGTGCGGTATAAAAACAGTTGCTCTCTCCACCATATTTAAACTCTCTTCATACATGAAGAGATGGGTGTATTTCTGTGTCTGTCAGTGTCAAAGCAAAATCTTCTCCAAGACGTAGTCAGAAGCTTACAGGGACAGACAGGTGAATTTTTTGTCTAATCTTTTTTACAGACCTGAGTTCCATGCCTGAGCAGAAGAAACAAGGTCTGTCTCAGCTGGCGGCCATGTTAGAGATGTACCTACAACAGGAAATACCTGACCTGGCAACGGAAGTGACATCAACATTGCCACCTTCCTGCAGAGAACCCCTCAGTCTCATAGCAAAGGTAGGCTAAATGCATTTAAATACAATATATGTTTGCTTTTTATATAGTGTGTAGGCACATACAAACCTTGGCACACTCATGCACACTCAAGCACAAACATGCACACCCATGCACAAAAAGACAAATACAAGCAACTGTTAAGTGCTTCTAGCATCTCCTGCTGTGTTTGGATGGACCCCAACATATGTCTAAGATCTTCCCAGCATCTGTGATTATGTCCTTTTGTGTGAGTATTCCCAGAACAACCTCAGGTCTTATTCCCTTAAAACAGGCCAGCTGCCTTCACCAGGATTTAAACCGCAAATGGCTAATATATGCAAGGATGTGTTTGTCTGGATTTCACTCCACCTCTGTCATCTGTTAGCTTGTGTGACTCCTCTTTGAGATTTCATGGCTCTTAGGTGTTTGAATTCCAATTTGTGTGTGTGTGTGTGTGTGTGTGTGTGTGTGTGTGTGTGTGTGTACGCATGCGTGTGCGTGCTTGTGTGTGTGTTTTGTTTGTCCCATCACAGTGATTGTATGAGTATGTGTTAGTTTTAATTGAAAGCAGCCAGGCGAATGAGCTAATAGTGTTTCCATAAAACAAACATGAAAGTTGCAAATGAGCAATACTCACCCATAAACTACGCTCACAACAACATCTGCTTATTTCATCTAATGACTTTTCAATGCTTAAAACATAATCGCATTTGACTTTAAGGTCTGAGTTTTGTTTTGGCGTTCCAAAGGAACAGTTATTCAAAACCAAATATACAAATTACCGTGAGGTGTTTGTAGCCTTACTAACGAAACAGTTCTAGGGCTGGTAGTGTCTTATTAGTGGGTCAGTCCACCACTTTGATCCAACCTAAAATATCTTGATAGATATTGTAAGTATTGCCATGAATTTTGCGACAGACTTTGGTGTTCCCTACAGAATGACATGTATTTAAACACAGTATCTCAAGAATAGTCAGAAGGAAATTATTCCTTCAGATATGGTACAAATATCAACTTGGACTCAAGGATGAACTGATTAGATTTTGGTGGTCAAGATTCAAGGTCACTGTGACCTTGCATCTGTCTCATTCCTGTGAATGTGGTATGTCAAAAACACCTCAAGGGAAGTTTTTCAGATTTGGCACAAACGCCCACTTGGACTCAAGAATGAGCTGAGTAGAATTTGGTGGTCGAGGTCAAGGTCACTGTGACCTCACAAAACATGTTTTTGGCCATAACTCAAGGTTAACTTCACTGTGGTATCATAATGTTCTACAGAAGCACTTTATTGGCCATTACTCAACACCATTTCTCAGGTGCAGAAGGGGAGACATTTGGTCAGATACTGAATAGGTGACACTATTTTTGGGTGTCCACCTTGAAACTGTGCAGACGGTATAGATCTCATGTGCTGTTGGGGGGACAATGGGTGTGAAGCATCCATGTTTTGACAGACATGGATGTAGACTGTAACTAGGGATGGGGCCGATCTGATCCAGTATCGGTATTGGGTTCTGATACCAACGTAATTCACGGATCGGAAATTTCCGATCCACCAACCGTTTCTGTGCTTTCACGTTGTCTGCTGGAATGATATGATGATTGCTACATAGCAGTGTTGCATGGTATACTGGTACCAACAGTAGACTGTGGTACTAAAACACAACGGTACATATGATACCATAATGTTGGAGTACCTCAGGTACCACTACTGTGGGATAAGTTCAAAGTCCAATCGCAAGAGGGTGAGTGTCCATGCACCTTCCAATAACATTTATATATGCTACAGTGATTTGTTTTCCACAGAGCTCTACGGTGCGAGCATTTTACTCGCATTTACGACTAAAAATAGTTTTGTGTGAGCAAAAGAAAACATTCAGGAGCACACTGTACGAGTACAGATTTCAACCAGAAGCAGAAACTAAAGGCGAATCCTGTCGGTTGTGGGTTGAACGGGGGTCACAGAATTGGAATTTAATAAATATTGACAATCAACTTGAAACCCTTACAGCTGCATATTTGTTTTCAGGATGGGATTTTTCCTGTTAACAGGATTTCCTGCTTTTCTGACCTTATACTTACCTCAAGTTGCCCTTTGGGACATACATGCATACATACGTACATATCATACTTGCCTGTAGAGAGGAGTTTATTACAGCCTCATATAAAATCAACAATAATGATAATAATATTTAAGCAAACAGCACTGGTATCGGAATAGTATCGGTATCGGCAGATATCCAAATTCAGGTATCGGGATCGGATCGGAAGTGAAAAACTGTGGATTGGTGCATCCCTAACTGTAACTGCAATTTGACTGGTTTGTGGAGGCATACAACCAGTAATTCTAGTGACTTTTGCTACAAACAACAAACGTTGGCACTTCGGGTCTTGTTTGCAATAACAACTGCAGCCTCATAGAGCCACTGGTTTGACTGTAGACTCCTGTTGTTTCTTTCCTTTTTTGTAACAGCAGAATCTCTGCAGTGCGTGAACTGTAGAGTTTAATTTTTCAAACGCACACACATATTTTTGTGTTTGTTTATATATTTTTGCATAATTGATGAAGAATTACGGAGGTGGGGTTAGAACGTAAGAGAGAGAGAGTGTTAGATGAGATATGGATATGCTATACATGTTTCCGTGTGTGTGTGTGTGTGTGTGTGTGTGTGTGTGTGTATGTGTGTGCGTGCGTGTGCATGTGCATGTATGTGTGTGCATGCGTGGGATTGGATTGTGAAGCTGGGAAAACTGAAAAGCTGCTGAGTAAATGCGGTTCAAGATTCCGATGGGAATTCTGCTCCAATCTGAGGGAGATGAAGAGCGAACAGCACCGCGTGGAATGAAGAGAAGGCAGGGGCAAAGAGTGAGAGGTAAATGAGAGGGGAAGAGAAAGTGATGAGATGAGGGTGGGAGAAAAGAGGAGGAAGTCAGAGAGTCACGACTTCAAATGTAAACAGAAATTGGAGGTTTAGCAACTTAATAAAAGTCAGTCACTGAAAATGAGTTTGTCAGTTGACATACATTGTGACTGGGTGAAAACTCTTGTGAAAACAAGAGCCAGGGGAATAAGACTGTAATCAGTTAGTTGGTCGTATGACAGAATGTCTGCAGTGTTTTAACAGAATATCTTTCTGTTAGACTTTCGTGTCTGTGTTTATGTATTAAGTCTCTTGCAGAGGTTGTATTGTGCTTTACATCAGTTGATTTATTCAGTAGCAGTAGCTGCGCTGTGCATCCTTTGCTGTTGAGTCTCGCTGGAATTTACTTGTTTGTAAAGAATGTAAAGAATTCCATTTAGTTTAGAAATGTGCTATACAAACAGAAAATTAATCCCCAACAATAATCCTGCTACACATTCAAAAAGTTTAAATGCCAGTGAGCCTTCATTTGGTAATTTGGAGGTCAGAAGACTTGGTTGAATTTGTCCATAAGTCCTGTGTACAGCCCTGTAATGTTAGCCACCATGAGTAGGCACTACATAAGTGTATCCTCAATACAGCCTTTCAGTATGAGTGTGACTGTATTAAAAGTCGTAATGTCAGGATTTCTAAATACCCTTGTATATCGTAAGAACATGATACCGTCCAAGCCTAGCTGATAATATAACATATAATGGATGTTTCAACAGCATTTTAATGAGGATGTTTCATTTCTAAAATATATGCCTTTAATAACTGAATCTGGATGAGAGCTATTAAATGACTGTATTCATATGTGCAGTATTATCTGTAATACATGACACCACATTTAAAAAAATGTTATGTTTTCTGGGTACAAAATGAATTCCTGACATTGTGTGATAACGTATGCCACATCCATCTAGTGTTGTGGCGATGGTATCCACAATCAGTAGATTTAACTATCAGCTGCAGTATAGTTGAGCTATGAATCAGCTCCCTCTCTGGAAGAATCTGTTCTGTGACTGCTGGAACAGCCTGACGGAGAACCATAAATCCAGCCTTGTATTTCACCCACAAAGAAGTGTCTTGTATTACACTGTGTGCTTCTTGGCATATGCATGTGTGTTTCCAATTTTTCCTTGTTTGTGGAGGGAGTTGCTGTCATTTGAGAGTTTTTGTGAACACCTGTTTACCTCAGTGCTACTTCTGAGGCATTGTTCAGTAGCACAGGTCTTTCAAACATCGCACCATGCAGATGTATTGTATCACTCATGTTGTGATGTTAACAAATAGATGTAATTGACGTGTGCAACGATCTGGGTAACACCTTGTTCAGACACGACAGCCTTCTTCCTAAGAAGTGTTTATTAAACACAGTGTGACACAGTTATCAGTATTTGCAGTTATCTGATAGTGTCGCACATGCGCACACACACACACACACACACACACACACACACACACACACACACGTTTGTTGTTGGGAATACTGAAGATGCCCGTGATCAGATAATATCCTCAAATTAACTTCCTGTCTAAATGAAAAAAGAGGTCCCACTGCCTCCAACTACCAGTAAAAACATTAAATAAAGCACCACAAAAATGGAGAGAATTCCACCCCATGTGTCATGTGGTTTTGCCAATATCCAGAAGGCTGTTTTACAGGCTGCCAGTAGGGGGCAGTGTGATTGCATGGACAGCGTCCTGTATTGGCGGTGTGAAGGAGTGGAGAAGTCCTTCATTTCACTTCCTCTCTGTCTTCATCCTCTTTGCTGTCTTCTCTGTTTCTGTAGACATGTATTATTTTCTGTATCTCTCTCATCTGCTTTAACTGTCCAAGTGTCTCTCTGTCCTCCTGCGTCTCTGTCTGTCTTCACATCTCTCTCCATGTTTTTCTCCTCATTATCCTTCTCCACACATGCAGCCCTTTCTCTTCCTCCCTCGTTCCCTCTCCTCCCCTTATGCACTCTCTTTAATGTCTCAAGTACATAATAAATGAGGAGTTTATTATTGTGTACTTGGATTGTTCAGTGTGCTTAACAAAATAGGTCATTACTGTGAGTGTGTGTTTGGGGCTGTGTGTGTGTGTGTGTGTGTGTGTGTGTGTCTGTGTGTGTG